AACATATTAATTTAATTATTTTTTTAAATGTTAGAGATTGCTGAATACAAACATAAAATTTACCAAAATTTATTTTGTTGTTGTTGCTTTCATGAATAATTAATATTTCCATACACTAAGATATAAAATCAATGTCTATCACAATATTATGGACTCAAAATCAATTACATATTGCTTTCTCACCATTTTAAAGTATGCAAATTAGAAATTTGTACATTGCTTCATCATCATTTTATTTCACTCATAAAGCTTCCTTTATGAAGAAGTCAAATTAATAAATATTAATAATTATGTATCAAATAAAATATAAGCTTCCTCAATAGAAGAGCTTTATCAGTGAGCGAAATAAAATAATGATGCAATATATAAATTTCTAATTTGCACATTTTAAAATGATGAGAAAACAATATGCAAGTTTCTAATTTGTACACTTTTTTATATTAATAATAAGAGCTAATTTTTCAGATTATGTATATTAAATAATATAAATGTAATAAGAACAATAGGAAATGATTTTATGCAACTGGTTAAAGTTGTTGCGTTAAGTAATCAATACATTCATATGTAAATTTAACACATGTTTGCTTTGTTAACTGAACTTAATAAATATAAAATATAAAAAAGGCAACATTATATATATGTATAATGTTGCCTTTTATATATATATAACGGTTGATATATCGATTTATCGCGATTATTCGCCATTTTGCTTTTAATTACCAAATAAGAGATTAATGTTCTTTTTACATGCTATTAAATAAGCGACATATAAACAAAAAAAAATGTATTACGAGCGAAGTTTGCATAATATACAATATCGACATTGCCAGGTTATGTATAATATACATAGACCCATATTCTCAACTCTTTTTTATCAATAAAAGCGCACTTTTTTATCGCTAAAAGAAAATTAAGAATATGAGTCATAATATATATATAAATACGTGATCTAATGCTAACATTGCTCGAACAATGTGCAATTGTTCGATGCAATGCTCGACATTATACACCATGCGAAGTTCACCCGTAACATATACATATACATTATTAATAGTACATTAATAGAAGCTTTTCATTTACAATATTTACATCAAAACTCAGATAATTCTAATTTGTAACAGATAATTCGATTCTGTCTTTATTATTCATTAATTGCCAAAAAGGATAGAACGACGTTACAAGTGAGAATTATCTGAGTTTTTTTATGTAAATAGAAAACACTTAATATATATTACACACAATATAATATACGTGCATTACTTTTATTTGTAATGCTATCTATTTTTGGTAAATGTGCAAAATAGATGCCTCCTCACCGATTTCGTTGAACTTAGGCTTAATCAACGCGTTTTTGCGTGAAACGAAAAAATCTGGCAGAAAAAAGCGTCGCTCTGCCCCGCAAAGCGAGATATTAACAGTTAAAGTTGACGAGTTTGACGACTATCTTATTATGAGACCTGTCATATTGACAAGATATAGCGACTACGAACCATAGAGATATAAGAATAGAGCATGAATAGAGTATGCAAACAAGCTAAAAAAGCGATAGAGGAATAGAAAGAGAGCGCTGCATATGGGCCCCTGCTGTCTTTGTCTATGCGCGCATGTGCAGTTCATGGAAGATTACATATCGATGGTTAAGCGGGGAGCACACACTTAATCATGTATTAATGTGGAACGTGGAAAGTGAAAAGTTTTATATGACTATCTCTTTCTATTTAACATCAATAGAAAGAGAGATTTTTCATTTTTCACGTTTCCACCCTAGGGGAAAAGATTCATGATTGACCCCGCTGCATAACGCATAATGCGTGAGCATAAGAAAATTGATTGGTCCATACACATGTGCATAAGAAAATAAAAAGTCTATCCAGACAAACTTGCATAGGTACATAACCATATGCATAAAGAAACGGATTGGTCTATTTCCTTATGCACATGCATATGGACCGATCAAATCTCTTATGCTTATGTTTATGCGTTATGCAAGTTCGTCTGGATTGACTTAAAGCGGGGAGCACACACTTCTGCATAACGCATAATACGTAAGCATAAGAAAACTGATTGGTCTATTTCCTTATGCACATGTGCATGGACCAATCAATTTTCTTATGCTTAAGGCCATCGCACACAAAATGCATAGCTTAGCATAAGCATAGCATAAGACCGCTAAACCAATGAGCATCCAGCATAAAGTCGCCATATTGATTTACATAAGATGCTCATTGGTCCAGCGGTCTTATGCTACGCTTATGTTAAGCTATGCATTTTGTGTGCGATGGCCTTTACGGATTATGCGTTGTGCAGAAGTGTGTGCTCCCCGCTTAAACCAATCAATTTTCTTATGCTTACGCATTATGCGTTATACAGAAGTGTGTGCTCCCCGCTTTATGCTTATTTCATTTTTGCACAAATCTTTGAAATATATGGTATACATTTTTAAATTTCAATATGCAATTAAGTTTTGCAACAGAAGATTAAATGGATGTTGGATAATTTGATTTAATAAAATAATCTCTTGAAATATACAGTATTTTTCAAGTAAATAAATTATATTCCATACGCTTACAGTAATAATATGTAGATATTTACATCATTTTGTCGTAATTATTTGACATACGTTTGGTTTCTCCCGCTAGGACCGAAGATGTATAGTGTATGTGGCGTAAACTATAGATTGCCAATACTAAAAATCTATAGTGTACGTCACGTTAACTATAGATTCCCAGTTTCCAGCGGGATCAATCGAACCTTGACCCAAAGATATAGTTTCGGGTGATCTTTTTTTCTATATAAATTCAAACAAATTAGTCGTTATAATGCAGACAAAAAAACTTTTCCAAGAAGGCAAACGTATAACTTTACAACTTAATGTGCCACGTTGATTTTTACGCGCAGACTGTGAAGAAGTTGTGGAATTTGTAAAAGTGCAGCAACCACACACAAGTCATAAGAACTTTCAACGTTGCAGTCCTTTGATTTATCTTATACTGATTTCGAGTTCGGTTAAATACATTTGCTGTTATAAACACCTTCAACACTTGCATGCATTGCAATTTTATATATTATTTATATAAAGATGCGATGCATGCAAGTGAAATATTTATAACAGCAAGTGCATTCATTTCTGTGCAAAACACGTATCATGATGTTCATCCTTTACAGAGAAATTAACAAATCTGTTGTATATTAAAATTAATGAGCGGTAGTGTATATAAAAAACTAATATATAAAAAATATATTTGCAATATAATAAATATTTTTATATTTCTATCCCTATATCTTTCTTTCGTCTTAAAATACTTTTTACTTTTTTATAAACAGCTTAAGGTATCGATACGATAAATAATACTATAAAAGCTACATTTAAATGGAACGGTAATAATTTACACATCCTACCTCATAATAGCGTAATAAATGTAAACGATTCATAGGAATAAATGTGATAGTTATTATGAAATAAAATTAAGTATGAAATATACATTTAAGAAATATTACATTAATGATTATATTATCTTACGCCTTATTAACATTCCATACAGGCGAAGCAAATAGATGCTATACAGGATACCTTTAAACAATTGTTTCATTTTCTAACATTTTTCAGATATATTGTAATATAATCGTATAATCGTCATATTTTTTTACACAGGAATACTAACGCAAAATAATTCGGACATTGTCACTACTAAAATTAAAAAATCAGATGAAAGGTTAAGTAATGTACATATTTTGAATTCACATATCTCTCATTTACTACCGATCATCATTTCACAATGGTACATTTGCAACGAAATAGATACGCCAATACCCAAAACGTATATCTGTAATCTAAACACAAGTTTTTATATTCTGGAAACGATACAAGTGTCTTAAAATACTTTTTACTTGTTTCTGAGCAGCATAAAATATCGATACTATCCGAATAGTATAAAAGCTACATTTGGATGGAACGATAACAATTTAGACACCCTACCTCTATAATTATGTTAAAATCGTCAGATATACTGTAATATAATCGTCATATTTTTTTACACAGAAATACTAACGCAAATTATTCGGACATTTTCACTAAAAAATTAGATGAAGATAGTTTGTAATCATACAAAGATACTGTTTAGTTAAAGTACACATTTTTTTAATTCACATATCTCTCATTTACTACCGATCATCATTTCATAATGATGCATTTGCAACGAAATAGATACGTCAGCAACATTCGAAACCATCGACTGGAAAAAGCATTCTTCTTGGTCTATTCGTTGTGACGGATAAAATCGTATAATTTCAGCACTCAGCAGTGGATTCACTTCAATTGATACGATTTTAAGACAGAGCTCAATTCAAAGAATCCTCGTTGTTACTAAATATGCTTACAAAGCCTGTGAATAGCGCTAATTTCCCTGCCATGCGCATATCTTTCTTTTTCGTGGCTGTATCCTGATTAGGCATCATCTTGTCCGCAATATGCTTATAGACTTTTCCATTCAGCATTAACGTAAAAAATAAAAAAGCCGTCGTACCATCTGAAATCGTTATATATAATTGTCTCGGTATTATAATCAATTTTATAATAAGTGTTTCCTCTCCGATAGCATAAACAAAATTAATTTTAGGAAATCTAAATTATTTTATCTTTTTCTGAAGGTAGAATACAAAACAAAACTAAAAATCAAGTTCTTTTCAAATAATAGACAACTTGAATTAATTATATAATTAATGTTTATAAGAACAATTTTATATTACTTTTAAAAGGAATGTTTAGAACACTGATTACACTTACATTTTCTGGTTAGCGCTTATTTTATGACATGTTGTATTTTACAAATTTTACTTCCAAAACACA